CAGACACATTCTGACAGCACTTCAGACAGCAGCTTTGTGCCCCGCCAGCTTCTTGTTCCATGCCTACCATGGTGTTTTTGTACAGACAGCACTTCAGACAGCAAGTATGCTGTAGTCGGCAATCATTCGTTTTGGTACAGAGTGGGACAGGTAGGGGGTGATGTTGCTGTAGTCGAACGGTGAGACGGACGTGTAGTTCAGTTTTGGGCACGCGTACGGTGCTGCAGGGATTATGTATAGGTGTAGTAGTACCTCTTCGGGCTCTTGGATACCTTTTTCTTGCTACGTGTGCGTGTTCTTTAGATCCTCAGATGGCTCTAGCACTTTCGTGACCACGGGCTGAGAGTCGTTGCTAGATTTTGGCATTTAGCAACTGGCATACGGTTTAATGTGAAGTCAACAACAAACAACAAACAACCCCTTGCCCGACCCGGCCCGAAATTCTGATCTCGAGTTACAATGCAAATCTCGCGGAGTCTCGAGTATAGTTCGGTCGGGAATCGCAGATTATCACTTCTCCCCGAGTATGAGGAGCTTTCGCCTCCCATGGCCGACCAGTCGGTCATATCGGTGCCGCACCCCGAACGGGGCGGTTAAACAACAGAGAAGAGGGTCCGTCCGGTTGCATCAGAGTGTTTTTTTTTCTCTTGCGAGTGAGCGGGCTTTCCATCTCTGCCCCCTTGATGACTTCCACCCCTCAGGGGTGTGATGGACAACAGCGGTATCTGGGAGGTATGCGGTTTCTCTGTCTGTTTACGTGTTGGACACCCGTATGCGTCACTCATTCCCAAAACGTGGACGGAGAGCAACAATCATCGTTACGTTCAAAAGATCATGATCGGAATATAGTCTATCTACATGCATGCATACAGTCTATCGGTCTTTTTCTTTATGTGTGTCTTCCATGCGCGTGTGTTGAGTAGCTTTTTGCGTCGGTGCCTTGGCGCGCGGGGTCCCTTGGTTGGGAAATATAGGAGCCAGCGGCGGGGTAGCCGCCAACGGTACAGGCATTGTAGGAACTTTGATGGGCGTGACAGCCTTCTACATTGGGATTGAGCGTGATAGCTCGGGTATGGTATCTCTGGATGTGGCGTGGAAGCCTGGTGACGTGATAGTCGTGGTGTAAAGGTATAAGTAAGGACGTGGATGTCCGGAACGCGTGGTGGCCGGGTGGTGTGATAGCCAAGATTGGCGTGGAAGTCGTGGCGTGATAGCCGTGGTAGCGTGATAGCCGGGGAAAAGGGACTTGATTACACACAGGAAGGAGGCAAAAAAGGAAACAAAAATAAGTGAGAAACCACAACACACAATCACCATATCCGTTGTAGACACACACATACCCCCACCCTCAATCCTGTAATATACGGCAAAGTTGGTACCATAAAATCGAATCCGAAGCAAGGTTGCGGAGGCGAGCAGTCTTCGCCTTCATGCGTTTGCAATTGCTGCTGCGGCCGCAGCTGCTCAGGAAAGAGATCTAGAAAATGTTCACCGTGCTGCGGTGGCTGGTGTTCCTGCTGCAGCTGCAGGCGGCGATGACTCAGCTGCGCCATCTCTGGGAGTCGGTCTGCCGGACCGTTAACAACAGGGACCGTCAAACAGATTCAGCCTCAATCAGAACATTGATCACGTCCGTTTCCAGCGTTTCAATGATGATGCAGTTGTATCCGGGTCATAAAGGCCCCCAGCGGAGAGCATCTCGAAGTTGTACAGACCGTGTCGGTGGTGTCCAGTACGTGCGAGATTACAAGACTGTAGACTAGTCGGCGGTTGTTTTGGATGGACTCGACATGGGTCGAATCACGCTATCGGTGCCTGGTGAGAACAAGGGTCGATGGCCAACTCAGCTTTTTTAAATTCTGGGCTTTGTGGTCCTTCTAGACTACGATAGAGCCGGACGAATGGTGAGGACGTGGTGGCCGTTGTCAGGTATGAGCAACAGAAACCGACCCCGTGGGGCTGTCTCACCTTTTGTGACACCACCCTCTTCCCCGATTGGCCTCCCCCATTCCTTCCAGAAAACTGAAAGCAGGTCTCATCGAACTGGCGGTGTTCTACGCTCAGCGAAGGAAGCGTAATGGGGATAGGGGGATTTTTTCAACATTCAAACGGCCAGACACAGTTGTTGGATGAGGCGGTGTGTGGCCTTCCCGTTGCCGTCGCCTGTTTTCCTGATTTTTTCTTTCATTAGACCATCGGCATTTTTTTCCTTGTTTTGGACACGGAAGGCGTCCCCGTCAGGCGGACCAGTGTCACAATATGCGGCGTTCTACAGCAGCGGAGGTGGCGATGCTGCTGTAGCTCGTAGGCTTTGTAGTGTATCACAGAGTTACACTGCTGTGAGATCGGTAGGCCCGAGCAAGCTTCGGAAGGACAAAAGTAGATAGATGTTCTTATCAACTGACTCCCTGGGCAGGCTTTGATGGGTGCTAGATGAGAGTGAGCACAAGGGGCGAAGGCGCGCTTGTGTCTCAGCCCAACAACAACACAAAAAACAAGCAGCAAACACAGCAGGTTCCGAGGGTCTCCGGGGCAATGGCCCGAGTACCGGAAATTCGGGGTTCGGAACAATAAAACAACTACAGTCGCCTGCCAAATTATCTCCGCTACAACTCTGTGCTCATGTTCTCTGCTAAGTACCATCTCTTCTTTCTGTATTATGTCTACGGAAGGCTAGTAGCCGTAGTCGCACCTATGGTAAACTGTGCCTGACTACGTTGTAACAGTTTTCCTCGACACGACCCCTCGATTAGGCAAGTAGCCGATGTTCCAAAACTTCACTTCGCTGCCATTTTTGCGACCCCTCGATTCCCAATCCATATCAAAGAATATCGACCTCCACATGAGTGAATCCATCCTGAGAGCAATACACGCGTTCAAAACATTTAACCATACTATGAGATCTTGTGCTTAATATCTTCTAGCACTTGTAGCCCTTGATGAGTTGCATGATGGTGGCGAATCGCTGCTTTGCGAGATGTTTCGTCGCGATGTCCGCCAACATCGTGACACTAGGTTGGTGGTGAAGAGTAATCCGGTGTCCCTTCGTGAGTTCCCTGGGGAAGAAGAACCGGAGCGCGATGTGCTTGGTTCTAGAGCTGAACATCGCGTTGCTGGCCACAGTCAATGCTCTGGTGCTGTGTTGATGGATACCGATCGAAAGGTCTTGAATCCGATTTCCGTCATGAAGTTGGAGATGTAGACTGCCTCGCGAGCACTGAAGCTCAGCGCTTGAAGTTCGGCCTCCAAGGTGTTCTGTGCTGCGAGAGTCTGTGCCTTGGCTCCGTAGCTGATCAGTCCCCCTCCTAGGAAGAACAGATATCCGGTGATAGACCTGCCGTTGTCTGGGTTGGCTCCAAATGACGAGTCAGTGAAGCACGAGAGTCTGAACTGCCCCTTCTTGTACACGATCGGCAGGTCCGGCGTTCCGCGTAGGTACCGTAGTAGGTGCTTGGCCGCAGCCATGTGGACCTGTGCTGGGTTTGCGCATGCCCGTTTCAGTTGGTGCACTGCGTATGACGGATCGTAGCGGGTGCATTGGGCAAGGTACAGGAGACTCCCGGTGATGGCCTGGAATCTCTGCTTGTCCTCGGGTCCGAGTAGTTGGTCTTGTGGCTGCTCGGTTGATAGTTCTGCTCCATACCCGGGGGTGCTGACCGGGTTTGCCTGTTCCATTCCATATCGCTGTTGGATATCTCTCGCGTAGGGTCCTTGTGATATGGCTAGTGTGCCAAGTTCGTAGTCCCGCTGCACTGCGATGCCGATTACGCGCTTGACCTCTCCCATGTCTGTCATTTCGAAGCTGTCCATGAGTTCCTTCTTTTTGCTGCTTACGATCTCCTTGTTTCCGCCCGTGATGAGGATGTCATCGACGTAGATCGCGAGGATTGTGAGTTCGTCCCTCCTTACGAAGATGTAGACACAGGGGTCAGAGTGAGCGCGCTGCCAGCCGAAGATGATGAGTCTGTCATTGATGGCGTCGTTCCACAGTGACGGGGACTGTGACAGGCCGTACAGACTTTTCTCCAGTTTGTAGACCATCATTTCACCTGTCGTAGGGTCCCTCTCCTCGTCGCCTGGCGCCGGCCTGACGCAGACCTCTCTGTCGGTGTACGCGTTCAGCAATGNTCCAGTTTGTAGACCATCATTTCACCTGTCGTAGGGTCCCTCTCCTCGTCGCCTGGCGCCGGCCTGACGTAGACGTCTCTGTCGGTGTACGCGTTCAGGAATGCAGCTACCACGTCCAATTGGTACACCTCCCATCCGTGTTCGCAAGCGATGGCGAATAGCATGCGGATGCTACCCAATCGGGTTACTGGAGCGTAGTTCCTTCCGTGGTGTCGTCCTGCCCGTTGGCGGTGTCCCCCGGGGACTAAGCGGGCCTTGAAGCGGCTGTCGGCCTTGATCTTGAACACGAAGCGTGCGTCGAAGATGTCATCATCCTTCGGTACCAGGCCCTTGCGTACTTTCTATAAGACTTTGTGCTTGGCGAGATTACCCATCTCGGTGTCGATAGCGCTCTTTCACTGCTAGCGTTTTGGTGAGTTCATGGCTTCGGTGTACGTGCTCGGAGTTTTGATCTCTTGGTTTGTCTCCCCCAAGAACCCTTTGCTCGAGGTGCCCGTGGCGTAAGCATACGCCCGGACTTCGGCGAAGGGGTCTTCATCCAGGTGAGCAAAATCCGCCGCGTCAGTAGGGCATCGTTGCTGCGTTTGGTGGGTGAGATCGAGTAGTTGATCCTTGGTGAGCTCCAGTAGGTCGGGGTGGCTGACCGCCATCGTAGAGCGGCCTCTGTCGTTCATGTTCACTTCCAGAGATTTCGGGATGCTTTTAGGGTCGATAGGGTCATCTGTGGGTTGGTGAGTGCGCGTGGC